TTTATTTATACGTGTGACGAAGTTACTCCCGAGTATGGTGATTGGGGTCTTTATCAATGTAGATGTTTACAAAACTCAGGTGCATTTGCTCCGGTTCTGTTTATGGGTGCCGGCGCCCCTTGGTGAAAACCCCCACCAAAAATTCCCACGTTCCCCCCCCCCCCCGGTGTTTACATGGCAAGTACATAGGCAGCCCCAAGGAGGTGGGATACCCTGTCTTACATGGGTTTTCTAAAAAGGTATCGACGGTTGTGTCAACTAGTTAGTTGGCTAGCTTGGTATAAACTTTATTAGTTGGGCATGCATCCTCCATCCAACATCCAACCCAGGCCCTTAGGGAGGTATCTGCAGGGCTGTCAACCCCTCACATCATCAGGGAAGAAATGATAGATGATGTCATATCGCACGAGAAATGACGTCATTTGGTCATAAAATTCTCGTCAATTCTGATCGATTCATATAGCACATAAACATTTCATATTTAGCCACACTATTGCTTAAATTGCAGTGGCATACCAGAATTTATAGGGAAACGTTCTATGTTAACAGTAGCTCAAAAAATGCAAAATATTTGAAATTTTATGGTTGGAAAGTCTAGTCTACAAGAAATAGCAACTTTGGCAATTATCCGGGAGATATCAGACTCCAATCTGGAGACCGGGAGGTACGGTACAAAATCTTTAGTCTCCCGGATTGTCCAGGAGAGTTGACAGTACTGTATCTGCCCCTCAGCAGGGGTGCAAAGCACATGAAGAGGTATCCTTTAATTTGAGAAATGCCAACTTTTCTTACCAAAGAAGAAAGGAAGAGTAAACCTCTGCATTTATATTTGCTAAGAAAACATTATTAATAATATGAGGGGAGAATTTAGGAGATGCTACAGGAGGTTGTGGCATGGACTGTTGTTTATGTTTAACATCATGTTATTGATCATTACTGAATTTTTGAAATAGATTTGACTATAAAAGTTAACGTTAAAGAATGACATTTTGACTGTCCGATGGTCATTTTCAAGTTCAGAATAAGGAATAAAAATATTACTTTGTGCTTTTACAAAATTGTTATTTGAATGAGACTTAATTTTATAAATACTTTTTATTTTGAATCATTGTAGCTGTCCTCCCAGTTAGCACCATCATGTGCCAGGAAAACCAAATGCTTAATGAAGTTATGTTTGTTAGAGGTGAAAAGGAGTTATTGAAAAATTGATCATATATAATAAACCATCAGGCCGGCACCACGAGCCAGTTGCTCAACAGTGAATAGCACTAATCACTAGGTCCCAATTCAAAAGGTGAAAAGGACTATCCACCAGGCCTTGGTTGTTCAAATGCTGGTTATTACTATCTAGTGGATACATCACTATCCAGCGGATAAGTATTAGGATAAGCAATTGCACCATTCACGGGATAGAGATTTATCCAATGGATAACGCTATCCATCTTTCGAACAACTGAGCCCAGATGAATAAGTATCCACCATACTGGGTTTCCCTACTACTTATCTGCTGGTTAGTGATTTATCTGGTGGACAAGTCTATCCATCTCTTGAGCAAGCGGGGCCAGATCGGTAGATTTTTTTTTTAAGGAGGCTTCTAATCTCCGACTGGCAGCAGTCCCTCGATAGGATTGATGCATTTGCCAGTACATTACATGCAGACAAATCAGGCAAACTTTTTTCCTCTGGCCTCTCTCCGGTTCCCTTCCTGGCTCACTTTGCCCTTGCTAGTTCTGCCGGGCTTTGACTCAACTGACTGAAAAACCCGGGGGGAGGGGGGGGGGGGGCCCGTGGGTTTTTTTTGGGGGTGTTTGTCCCCCCCGGGCCCCCAACTTGCCCCCCCCTTCTTGAAAAATTTCCCCCTAAAAACTCTCCCCCCTTCTTGAACTGGGCCAATTTTTTTTCCCCCTCTCTAGTACTCCCCCCTTACAAACAACCCCGCTCTGT